ATGTGTAAAAATAAAAAAGTCCAGGCTTTTTTCGGCCCTCACTGTATCATTCACAGATAAGCATCAAAAATCAAAACAACCGTCCAAATCAATCCACAACATAGACGACGTATGGCTAAAAACAATTTGGTGATCTGGGTGGACGCCAACATCAATACGACCAACGAAGATTACCAGAAAAGTTTGCAGCAACTCGAAGATGTTGTCAGTAAAGTCAACATATGCACTACGGCAGAGGCATGTATTAAGAACCTCCAAGAAAACAATGAGAAGACATCATTCGTAATTGCCTCAGATATATTGGGGCAACAGCTGGTACCAGACATTCATGACATACCAAAATTGAATGCGATGTACATCTTGTGTGGCAACGAACAACGGGACAATGTATGGACAAAAGACTGGCCAAAGATCAAGGATGTTTATACGTCGATTGAGCCCATATGCAAGGCACTTGAATTGACCGTCAAACAATCTAATCAAGATCAGACGACGGTCAGTATCATCGGTAAAAATGAAGTTGGTTCTAGCAAAGATCTTAATCAGCTAGAACCTTGCTTCATGTACACGCAAATATTCAAGGAAATACTCCTTGATATGGAACACGGCCAGCAAGCCATTCAAAATTTGGCAGAATATTGCCGTAAATCATACCAAGATAAGGAACAAGAAACAGAAGTTATTAAAGAATTCGAAAGCAGTTATCACCCATCGAAAGCCATATGGTGGTACACACGTGAGTGTTTCACATACAAAATGCTCAACAAAGCATTAAGAACATTGGATGGTAATATCATCATTAGGATGGGTTTCTTCCTGCGTGATGTTCACCAACAAATTGAAGATCTCCACAAGAAACAGGTCAGTCTTTATAATGAACAGTCATTTATCGTATATCGAGGTCAAGGATTGTCAACAGCTGATTGTGAAAAGCTCACAAATAATAAAGGTGCCCTAATATCGTTCAGTAATTTTTTATCAACGAGTACAGACCCCGACATGTCTCTCCATTATGCTGAACAAGCCTCAAAAAACAAAGGTATGGCTGGCATCCTTTTTCAAATGACCATAGATCCTACAGTTTCATCGACTCCATTCGCTATCATTTCAGAAGAGAGTTACTTCAAAAAAGAAGAGGAAACTCTCTTCTCTATGCACACAGTTTTTCGTATTGGTGAAGTTCAGAAGCTTGATGAGACAAGTTTCCTTTACAAAGTGAATCTCAAACTTACATTAGATGATGACCAAGAACTCCGCGATTTGACCGATTATATACGCGGAGAAGTTGACGGCGAAGGATGGTATCAACTGGGTCAATTGTTACTCAAAATAGGACAATTCAAAAAGGCTGAAGAATTGTACACTACACTACTAGAACAGGCCTCTGACGACGGTGATATAGCAGATATCTATCACCAGTTAGGTAGAGTGAAATGGCAACAAGGTCAATACGAAGAAGAGATAAAATTTTACGAAAAATCCCTCGAACTCTACAGAAAAACTCTGCCAGAAGATGATCCTTCATTGGCCGCTTTATACAACAACATCGCTCTCGCATATAATAACATGGGTGACTACTCCAAAGCACTTGAATTTTACGAAAAAACACTTCAAATCGACGAAAAAACTCTGCCTCCGAATCATCCCAATTTGGCTAATACCTACAGCAACATCGGTCAAGTGTATAACAACATGAATGACTACTCGAAGGCACTTGAATTTTACGAAAAAGATCTAGAAATCACAAAGAAAGCGCTGCCTCCGAATCATCCCTCGTTGGCTACTTCGTACAGCAACATCGGTCAAGTGTATAACAACATGAGGGACTACTCGAAAGCACTTGAGTTTCACCAAAAATCACTTAAAATAAAAGAAAAATCTCTGCCTCCGAATCATTCCCGTGTGGCTACTTCATACAGCAACATCGGTCAAGTGTATAACAACATGGGTGACTACTCGAAGGCACTTGAATTTTACGAAAAAGATCTAGAAATCACAGAAAAAGCTCTGCCTCCGAATCATCCCAATTTGGCTACTTCATACAGCAACATCGGTCATGTGTATAAAAACATGGGTGACTACTCGAAAACACTTAAATTTTACGAAAAAGCACATACAATCTACGAAAAAGCTCTGCCTCCGAGTCATCCCTTGTTGGCTACTTCATATATCAACATCGGTCAAATGTATAAAAACATCGGTAACTACTCGAAAGCACTTGAATTTTACGAAAAAACACTTCAAATCGACGAAAAAACTCTGCCTCCGAATCATCCCACGTTGGCTACTTCATACAGCAGTATCGGTCAAGTGTATAAAAACATGGGTGACTACTCGAAAGCACTTGAGTTTCACCAGAAATCACTTAAAATAAAAGAAAAATCTCTGCCTCCGAATCATCCCCGTGTGGCTACTTCATACAGCAGCATCGGTCAAGTATATAACAACATGGGTGACTACTCGAAAGCACTTGAGTTTCACCAAAAATCGTTTAAAATAAAAGAAAAATCTCTGCTTCCGAATCATCCCCGTGTGGCTGATTCCTACAGCGAAATCGGTCAAGTGTATAACAACATGGGTGACTACTCGACAGCACTTGAATTTTACGAAAAAGCACATACAGTCTACGAAAAAGCTCTGCCTCCGAATCATCCCGATTTGGCTGTAAGTCACTTAAATTTTGCAGCGTATTACGAGAAAATCGGTAATTATACCGCGGCTCTAACGGCTGTGAAAAGTGCTCTTCAAATTCAGCAAAACAAGTTTGAAGAAGGTAATCCAGCTTTCGCTTCAACATACAGTTGGTTTGGAAGAGTTTATCGTAGTATGAAAGATTATTCAAAGTCGCTTGATTACTTTGAAAAATGCCTTGCAGTAGATCAGAAAACGTTACCTGAAAGACATCTTGATTTTGGTATAACGTTCAGTAATATTGGTGATGTTCATAGTTTGATGGGTGATTATGAAAAGGCATGTTTCTTCCATAAAAAAGCATTAAATATTCAAGAAAATGTTCAATGTAGTCCTTTAGAATGTGCAACAACATATATAAATTTAGGTGAAACATATCGTGAAATTAAAGATTATTCAACGGCATTGACATATTATCAAAGAGGATTAGAAATACGTCAAAAGAAACTACCAGAAAGTCATCCTGATTTAGCTGTGGTTTTTCATAACATGACTAAATTATATATATCTACTGGACAATATAATATGGCAATGAAAAATGTTCAACAAGCAATAGAAATTGCTCAAGAAAAGTTACCTTCAACTCATCCTCATCTTTTGGAATATAAAGAAACATTAGAAAAGATTCCAATGAAAATGTAATTTGTTTTTTTTTCTTCATTGGTTAATAAATTGAATTGAATTGCTATGCAATTTTTTTCTGGTTCTTCTCGGCTCATTTTGGCTTACACAGGCGCAACAAGGGAAAGATCACTTGCCAATGACATAGGTGCCACAGAGCGGACCACACCGGACTGGTAGGGCCATGGCCGAAGGTATGCCGTATGAATGGTAGAGACCTACGACTCATAGAGGCCTTCCCGAGTACTACACTGCTTCGCTATGACATGAAAGTTCCTTTCCCTATTGAGTCAGACAACGTAGCTATCGGACCCACAGTGATATCACTGATAACTCAACTCAACTCATCTCAACTCAAATAAACTCATTCGCATATCACTGACTATGCATATACATATGTATGCATAGATTTTTTGAAATAAATTCGATCCGGAATTTTTTTAAAGACTCAGTCTCACAAATATTCACACATGCTTTGCATATATGAGATAAACTAAACTTAATACTCAACCTTAACTCAAAGAAAGAAAAAATCTTTTTCCTACCTCTCAAGGTTATATCGTATCGTAGCTCATCTAAAAAAAAGAAAAAAAAAAGTTATTTTAAATATAAAATAAATTAATTTTCCTTATTTTTAATATAATATATCATTAACATTGTAAATAATCTCATAATAATAATAAACCCAGGTATACAAATACATTGTAATGCATTATAATGATACAGCTCGAGTGTACTGTTCCATGATGATGCATCAATGTTTTTATATACCCTGAGGTTAATTGATCGATGTTCAAAATTTTGATTAATTTTTTATCAATCATTGAACATACGTGATTTGATGTTCCACGTATGTATCTTAATTGATATGTTCAACACATAACACTACATAATTGATTTGATGATCAGTATTTTATGTGGTGATTTGTGTATATTGTTTTAATTGTTTTTTCTCGTCTGACGTACATCAATATCATGTCGTCGCCGACGAAAAAGAACTTTCATCTTATATATATTTAGGGTGTGTCGAAGAAGATATGATCATTTAAACTCACACACCAACCGTTTGTTTTTTTGTTATGTACAATCTTCCTTGTAATACTGTGCTTTTCTATTTAGGGAAAGCAACGATGAGAAGAAAACCTATTATTATGGTTCAAAATTCATCTATAATATTGTATATCAGCTTGTACGCGTAACGCGTCACCTCAATGACCGAGAGTTCGAAATCAATATCTTACGAAATCATTATTGCCATGTTATAGAGCATGGTCTAAAGTGTAGAGAAATTTATTTCGTTCCGTGAATAAATGCTTTAAATTGCATTTGATAATTGGTAACAGAGAGCCCACTAATAGACAGAAAAAGTTCCTCTATTTAGAGCATGAGTTCACCTATCCCGTATATCGAAACAGTCTGGTATATACAAAGTTGATTAAGACTAATTAAGACTATGATAATAGATGTATCTTTCCCCATAACAGTGGGTTTCCTATGTGCTATACTTTTTTCCAGCAAGCTTCAGTAAAACTACCCTATTTATAACGTCATCGCGTAACGAAAAATGAATATTGTTTTTTTTCAACCGTTATTCTCAACTTCTTTTTTTACAAAAAATATAAATCTAAAGCTAGTTTTTCATGAGCTATCTGATGCGCGTATTTTTATTCAAAAAATATTTGTGTTTTAAAATCATGTTACGTAACGCGATGACGCTTTTTACTATTTTCTACGTTTTTCATGTATGTCAAAGGACGTTTTCAGACGGTGATTTATTATTCAAAAATCACCGTAAGCTACGACTAATGTATCTTTTTATTGATTACTAACAAACTGCCATAAGAATATAGGTGATTGGTCTAACAAGTTGATTGCGTTCAATTAAAATTAAATTACCAATCTAAATCCTCTATCGTTTCTATGATATATACGTAAGGTCGAAAAAACTCAAAATTTCAGTTAACATTTTTTCTCGATGATTTATATATGGTTAGATAGAGTTCAAAAAACTATGTAAGGAAATGTAAGGTGCGCGCAGTGCAAAAGTCGAGCAGAAAACAAAATCCAATA